TAGAAAATAAACAATGGACTATGTTTTACATTTGTATAAACGTGTTCTTTATACGAAAAATACTTTTCAATTGCAAACTGCCCACGCTAAACAAGAGAACGTGTGTGTAATAAAATCCGAACCTCCTGTTGAAGAATTTATTAGCAATATTCATAAAGACGATGAAAAATCTTCGTACGATTTAATAAATTAATAAATTGTTCATGGTGTCACTCCTTTGATCAGACTTCTGTATGAGAGACACCATCTATACTAATCATTAACTTATTATAATAAGAAATAAGATATCATTTTACTAATTATTATTATAGTAATTATTATTATTATTATTATTATTTTTTTGTTATTATTACAAATTATTACTATTTTTTATTATTTTATAATTATTATTGTTATTATTTACCTTATTACTGTAAAAAATGATTTTAAAATGGAAAATAAATAGCTTGTTGTTGTTATTTAAATTCTTTATTTAAAATAACTCCATATGAAAGAATGAGGTATAATTTATACATTAGTTCAAGCGATAGTAGTTAGTCGTTATCTTCTGACAGTGAAAATTATGTGCAACAGAATATATAAACACCTTGACAAAAATAACCTACTCTATGTTAATCAATTTGGTTTTAAAAAAGATAGCTCAACAGAGAATGCAATTATCCAATTTGTAAATAAAATTTTAAAATCTTTCGAACAATCAAAATATACATTAGGTATCTTTATCGACCTATCGAAGGCCTTCGATGCGGTTGACCATCACATCCTACTCGAAAAACTAAAATATTATGGAGTAAATAACCAAGCGTTAAGGTGGTTCAGAAGTTACTAAACAAACTGAAAACAATTTGTTGTTGGTAATGACAACTATCATATCAATTGTTTAAGTATAGCCTGTGGAGTTCCACAAGGTTCAATACTCGGACCCCTCTTTTTTTTTAATTTATATAAACAACCTAAATAAAGCAACTAATTAGATAAGCATCATGTTCGCTGATGACACTAATTTATTCATCTCTAAGAGTGATATTAACGAACTTTTTGTCACAGTGGATAAAGAACAAACTTTTATCCAAAAGGTTCAAATCCAATAAATTAACATTAAATACTGACAAAACTAAATTGACTCTCATTCATTACTTAGGAAAAATACTTTTTTACTTCCCCAGGCAATATTAGCGTAGTTTATGTAACAGTGAATAAATGAGAAATAAAGTTGACATAAGTTTTTCTTATTAAGATAAGTTCGAGCTTTGTATAAAACTCCAATGTTTTTAGAGACTTTAGTGCATGCATAATTAATATGTTGATTCCAATTAATGTTCTCATCGAGATAAACACCTAAGAATTTAATAACGGAGTCTCTTTTTATTTCAATTTCATCAATAAAGATTTGAGGCAAGTTTAAGGGTAAAAAATTATTTTCCTAAGTGAATTTCAATTTTTCCTTAGCAAATGAAATTCGCTTAGGAAAATAATTTTTTACCCTTAAACTTGCTTCAAATCTTTATTGATGAAATTGAAATAAAAAGAGACTCCGTTATTAAATTCTTAGGTGTTTATCTCGATGAGAACATTAATTGGAATCAACATATTAATTATGCATGCACTAAAGTCTCTAAAAACATTGCAGTTTTATACAAAGCTCAAACTTATCTCAATAAGAAAAACTCAAGACAACTTTATTTCTCATTTATTCACTGCTACATAAACTAAGCTAATATTGCCTGGGGAAGTACTAAAAAAAGTAAATTACATCGTCTTTATCGCTGCTAGAAACGAGCAATTCGTATAATTAACTTTGCTGATCGCTTTTCTTGTTGTAAACCTTATTTTATTGAAATGAAAATTTTATATATATTTGAACTCAACGTTTTAAAAATTTTATGCTTTATTTATATGTAGAAAAACAATCTATCCCCCCCCCCCCCTAGTCTTTAAAGATCTTTTCAGTTTAAGCAATAAATACACTATTAAAAAAAATTTCTTTTTAACAAACCTTTTTGACAAACAAATTTTAATTAATTTTTTCTTGCCTATCGCGCACCGAACCTATGGAATAAACTTGTTTTACCAAACCTTGATTTTGATCGACCAAATTATTTTTGTCTTTTTAAGAACAAAATTAAAAGTCTAATTTTTTCCCTCGATAACTTTTTAGAGTATTACTAATTAATTGATCTATTATTTAACTTATTTTGGACTTTTATTATTTTTCTCTAAAGTTTTGTTGTTTACAACTATTTAAATTGTTTTTACATTTATATATCATATATAAATGTAAAAACATATATTATATGTTGCTTATATTGTTTAAAGTTTAGCTTACTTAAAAAATTCTATATATTTTTTATTTTATTGTAACGTATACTTTACAAGGTATTCGTAAATTAATAGTTATTAATATTTTTAAGGTTCCGAAGATAAGATCTTAGTGATCTTCTTTCGGAAACCTAGTTTACACTGTTATATATATATATTAGTCAAGTAATTTTAATTGTTT